AACACCAACATCAGATACTTTACCGGCACTCTCAGAGTTACTCAGAACCTATATGCTCCTTAATTTTCTTCTCGGAACCTATTTCATGTTCATATTATTACTATAGGAATTATACCCTAGAACCTATATCATGGTCACTGCCCAAGCCACAGAGATTATATAGAACCTCACTAATACTCATGATCATTATCCAAACCACAAAGGTTATATAGGAACTCACCAACAATAACACCCCTTCATCAGTGGTAACAACAATCATCAACGTATCGTCATATACATATATTTCACTATAAACAACAACAATCAACATCATAACAACAATTCAAACATATTCATCAGAACACCTACGGGGTTAAGGAATCCCCTCTACTCAATTTTATGTAAATACCATCCCAATCAGTTTCTCCCCCCTTACCTCGATTAATTGCTCAATCGTTGAAGGATCTTGAAGGATTGACAGCCCTAGCCTCCTTCTCTTCCTCCTTGTTCTTCTTCTCACTTTTTCTCCCAAAACTGTTTATCGTAACTTTCTTTCTCTTCTCCCAAAATCCTTTCTTTGGCAGTTTATCGTGTTCTCCCCTCTTTCCCAAAAACTTCTCTATTTTCTTTAATCCCTTATCTCTTATTAAAATCTTATAATAATAATAATAATCCTAATAATTATAATAATAATAATAATAATAATAATAATAATAATAGTAATAATAATAATAATATTCATAATAATATTATTAATATGAAGACTAATAACATTCCACCAAATTAATATTAATACTAATATTATTATTAATAATAATAATAATAATAATAATAATAATAATAATAATAATAATAATAATAATAATAATAATAATAATATCACCAATATTGCTATTACTATAATATTATCATTTCCACTCCACGTCACCAAGACTAATCCTTACATATCAAGGATGATCACCTACAACACATCAAACACACCCCACCTAAGGGCACACCCACGTAAAATAATTAAAATAACACCAAAATAACTGAATAAATAAAATGGGTGTTACAGGATGCGCATCGGGTTAATACGGAAATGCATCTCTAGATTAATTTAATGCAAAATGAATGTGTTTCGATTAATAATGCATGGGGTGTGCATATGGTTAATGCAGAAGTGTGTCTTCGAATCAATTTAAGACAAAAAAAAATACGTAGTTCATTTACATATGCATTTGATGTGAAATGAATACGTTCAAAAATGCATTTTTATTTTTCAAAGGCATTTTTGGATATTTTTTTTATTGAATACTTCTCCACCATTTAGGATGGGAGAAGCAACTCCCATGTTATTAAAATTTAATGTGGTAATTTGGGCTAACTTTAACCTAATCTAATTGTAAAAACTCTGTACTATCATATAAGAAACAATACATTGATAGTTTTTTTATAAAATAGAAACAAAAAGTTACCATTTTTTTTTTGACAATGTGAAGATTCATGCCAACATCCCCAGATTCTCTAGAGGGCAAGCTGATCGCAAGGTAGAAAATAAAAGTAAAGGAGTCAAACAACCTTTCAAGGATGGAAATGTAGCAGGGAGACAGAGTTTTTGTCATCATGTTAGTAAGGTTGGTGTTAGGTCATTTGTTGAAGTTGTAAATGAAGTTGGCGCTTCTTCTGCGGTTCACCCTCCTTGCAAAGTTCCAGTTCATCTATTCTATAATCTGGATGTTGCAGACATCTCAAGATTTAACAAAGCTTACGTAGGAGTGGTTAACAATCCTGGTATGTCTTATAATATTCAAACTAGCTTTGAGATGGAAGGTTATTTTTCTATCAAAGTGACTCCATTTGGTGCGAACTTATACTTATTGGAGGAGGGTGAGGAAGGAGAGATCAGAGACCTGATAAGGGAGGCGGAATTGTGGTGGAAACAATGGTTTTCTAAGATTAGAAAATGGAAAGAAGAAGATGTGGGCAAGGAGAGGGTAACTTGGCTTCGCTGATATGGCATCCCCTGCCATGCGTGGAATTTTAAAATTTTCAAGCTTTTGGCCAAGACGGTGGGCAGTTATATTTGTGTTGATGATAATACTTTAAAGGGTGTTTGTATGGATGTTGCTCGCATTATGGTGAGAACCAATTGTGCAGTTTTCTTAAACAAGACTTTTAAAGTGAGGATCAAAGAAGAGGTGTTTAGCATCAAAATGACAGAGGATTCTCATGGGCCTCTTCGCATTCTTGGTATTTCTAACGGTAAGAATGAGGAGGTAGGTAATCCTTCTTCCAACTTGAAGGATAAATAAAGCGCATGTGGAGGTGATGAGGAGGAATCTGACATTGAAGAGTTTCAGAGGCAGCAGGCAGACCTTGAAGAAGGAGAAATTTATTCATCTGCAACTAGGGAGTTAGTTAAAGCAAGGGAGATGAATGAGATAGAGGGTGGCGTAGAGAGAGATAGAGGTAATGATGCGGATAGGGATACTAGATATAGGGCTAGACGTCTAACTTTTGATTTTGACGCTGCTATTGTAGCTTCCAAGGCGGCTAGAGCATGGGAGGGGTTGTCTGAGGCTAGGGTGGATGGAGCTAGTTCTGCATATAAAAATTGTGTACCTTTCGAGGGTTCTGAACATGGTTGTCATGTAATCATAACCTTGTCTTGAAGTGGTAATAAAGTGGTTCCCAAAAAGATTAAATTGAAAAAGGTTTTGGATGTTATTAGGTCGGTGTCCAAATCCAGAGTTAAGAAGAAAAAGGTCAAAAGGTTATTAGGCTTTGCTTCGCAGCCTGGCCCAAACGTCTCAGAGGATCCTATTAAGGATTTTACCCCTCCTAACCCAGTTGCTTCATCGTTTGGGAATAATTGTGTGTTGGCGTCTCAGAAAGTATGGCAATCTTCTACTTTTTCATCTGAGTCTGAAAAATTCTCGGCGGGAGAAATATTATGTTATGATCAAACATCTGATTCAGACGTTAGAATTGGAAATATCAGGTTTTGGGACCAATTGGACACAATTGTAGGAGGCAAAATTTGGAGTGCGGCCAACAATCTAGGGGTTGTTGTTATAGATAAGTAAATTGATTATCTGAAGAAAATTAACGAGATAGAAGGTGTTGACAAAACCAGAATCAGTGGCAAGAAGGCGTCTCTCAAGACCAAGAAATGATTATTGGATCCCTAAACATTAGAGGTGGAGGTATTCTTTCCAAGAGGTAGAGAATTATCAAGATCATTTCTTTAGGTAAGGCAGATGTTTTCTTCATTCAAAAATCTAAATTGAAGGATGTTAATATTGTCACCATCAAAAGCTTTTGGAACAATTGTGAGACTGGTTAGTCCTTTAGCAAAGCGCAAAGTCAGTCTGAGGGAATTATCATAGTGTGGAAGGAGTCGTCTGTTCAGGCGGTTATGTCTTTTATAGGAGATGGTCATCTCGGGATAAGAGTTGGGTGGCATTTTGAATCCTTCTATTTGTTCAATGTTTATTCTACCTGTGATATTCATTCTAAGAGGAAATTATGGAGAGATTTAATTAATTTGAATAGTAGGTTTTCAAACGGGGCTTGGATCATTGGAGGGGATTTTAATGCTATTTCCAAATGTTCTAAGAGGAAGGTTCGTATCGTCTCCAATAAAAGTTCAGAAGTTAGGGAATTTGACGAATTTATCTTTGAATCATGAATGGAGGATCCTTGCTTCTGGCAACAAATTTACATGGTATAGTGGTGATGATTATTCCATGAGTAGAATTGATAGGTTCCTTGTGTCATACCTAAAATTTGTCCTACCTGTGTATAGATTTCATTATGTACATCCGTGCACAAACTGTTATTCGAAAAAATCCAAAAAAAATATGTTGCTTCTGCTTGTTATTCAAGTTTGTGCAAGATTGAATTCAAGGTATCCAGTCAGGAAAGGTTTGGTTTCATGATCAAGGCATGGATGTATAATTTGGGTGGTGTGTGTCTGAAGTTTAGTTAGGTTTATGTGCATTCAGGTCATCTATGTGGATCAGGTTATCAGGTTGTAATAAGTCAAGTGCTTTGTGATTAAGAATCATAAGAGATTAAGGCACCTTCAAATTAGGGTTTTGTGCAGTGGGGTTTATATTTCAAGTCCTAATTTTCTGATTTTCAAAGCATGTACCAAGAGGGTTTATAGTGAAGTTTATCAGGATTGATTGGTGATTTGGAGTTCCTGAGGCCAAGATTAATTCAATAAATTTCTCAAGGGGCAATCCATTCATAATCCATTTCAAGTCCGTTTTATCCACAATATCCAATCCAATTATCAATATCCACTTTCTATTATTTTCAATTTATCTCTATCTTCTTACCTCAATTCAACCACATTCATATCCACTTTTAATACCATGTTTTTCTATTTCAAATCCAATATTCAAAGACCGTTTTCCGTTCATTTCCATTTTTGTATCCATTTCCTAATATCCATGTTTCACTCATGAATCACCTTCAAAATCAAATGTCCAAGACCACCACCATTTTTGTTTAAATCCATCATTCAAAAAAAAGAGAAAAAATGTTCATACCACACATCACAAAGAAGAACCTTTCAATAAGCTTATGTAAATGTCCATAATTACATTACAATAAAAATATTCAAAGAAAAAATCATGAAATCTATAAAGCCCAATTTCATTCACAAAGCCCATTTATTAACAATTTGCAAAAAGACAGAAAAAAACAAGTAACAAAAATAAGGTCCATGGTTTTGTAATGGTCCAAGCCACCACTTGCTTCATACCAGCCATGACTCAGCCGACTTGATTTGCAAAACATTACGCAAAAAATTGAATCCACACACAAGCCCTGAGCTGCAGCAACAACCGTGTACATCATCAACCTGCCACAACTCTTTCAAATGGTACGACCAACCTTCACAATACATTGCTTAACCTGCAGCAACTTCACAAGTATCGCACCACCTGCAAAATGTACAAGCTGACCCCACACTAATTCACACCACACCCACATAAATCCAAGATCATCTTCGCAGCTCACAAAAACGGCTACAAAAACAACGTACTGCAAAACCAAAAAAGAGAGACAAGCTTTTTTCTCAATTCACACGGACCCCACACTACAATATACAACCTTCGCGAAACAAGCTCAAAACGCAAGAACGATGCAAAACCTGCTGCCAACATTCCTCGACCCCACTTTCCAAAACAGAAAATTCATGAAAGGCACATGAACCTACAAATGACACACAAAATCGCGAATCAAAAATGTCAAGAAATCAATAAATATTGTTTACCATTTCACCCCTCAATCTTCTCTATAAAAACCAGCAAAACCTTCTCTCAAATACTCCAATGACCCTCAAAACCGTAACCCTCTTTCAACCACAAATTTGACCCAAAAAAAAAGAATCATAAATCATGAATAGGACCAAAATAAAGAGACTTTGAGATGAAGTAGAGTAAGAATTAACAACACTAACGGACCAAATTGAAACACAAACCTGGAATTGCATCAAGTCCGAGCGAGGGGAAGAGTTCAAATCAATGCAAATCTTGAGCAGGAAAAGGTTGAGACGTCGCCAATTTCTCTTCGTTTCCATTTTGATTCGCTTTGCTGCTATTTGATGAACACGTTCTTTTGTTTCGTGATTTTGTTGAGTCGGAATCAGGACCTTGCATTTTCTTGAATCGTGTTGGCCCTGTTTTGTTTGAGTTTTCATTGTATGCTTTGAGGCCACAATCGTTTTGTATGTTTGGTTTTGTCTTAAGAAGAAGATAAGGATACAGTACTGCTAGCCTTCTTGGCTTTATCGGTTTTACGGATTTAATTGGGCTTGTGGCCCGTCTACGTTTTTGAAACATCCACCGTTTTGTTTTCTTGTTGCAGAGGTGATGGGCTTTGAGCCCACAGGATCATTATGGGATTTTACCACAGGATCCCATTTTTTCACACACCTCCTTTAGTTGGCCCCAAGTTTTTTCTTATTTATTTCAAGGTTTTGTGATTTTCTTTATGTTGACAATCAATTTTGTTCATAATCTCTTAATTATTTTTGTTAAATACCTTATGAGAGATTTTGTTAGATATTTTGTTTATTAGTTAAATCTCTCATTTCTACTTTGATTTTACTCTCTTCATTTTTTTATTCAAATCATGGTCAATGAAAGTCAAATATCGTGGATGGTTGATTTATCAATTAAGTTAAATGATTAAGATGAGACCAATTTCATTTCATTCGCGTTCTATCTTATATCTTCTTCTATTTTCAATTTCATTTTCTCAATTGGTGAAGTCTTTCTTGTAAGAACACAGATTGTTTCTTAGTTATATCTCTATGTTTTGATGATAACACTTATGAATTTTTGTAGTCAAGAATTATATACTCTAAATTTGTTCTAGATTGTTTGCTACAGGTACTAAAGAAAATATTTCTTAAAAGAGCAAATTTGGATCTGAACAATGTTATTAGAAAGGCTTCATGGGTTCAAGAGCATCTTAAGTGAAGATCTGAACGCTGCTTCCAGAAGAACCTGATTACTGTCTCTTGAAGATTCTGAAGCAGGAGCCTCTAAGAGCATAGAAGACTCTGCTCTGATAGATTTACACGCTCAAGCACACAAGTTGCACATACTCTGATTCAGCTCAATCTGAAGAACATCCAAGACTCTGAAGATCCAGAAGATCTCTATTCTGGAGACTCTGAAGATTCAGATTCTAATGTTGAAAGCTGAACTTACTTTGAAGAAGATTTAAATATGTACGTTGGCTTATCTCAACAGCTCTTTCCTATTTTGTGCTAGACACAAGGACACAGACAAAAAGGTTTTATCTGTGCATTCCACTCTAAGGAAAGTTTCTGCAAAGTGAAGACAAAAGGCATCAGGCTTGTTTCAGCACAGCCTCCAATGTAAAGACAAAAGGCTTCAGGCTTTTCTGCACAGCCTTCAACGTAAACAAGACTTCATGGATTTAAGTGCCTATTTAAAGAAGTCCACTCCATCTTCTTCAGTATCGAATTTCTAGCAAAATCACTCATCAAAGCAAAACTCTCAAAAGCTCTTATTATTTTATTTTGCTATAACATTGTTTGTAACTTAAGAGAAATATCACAGTTGTGATAACAGCTTATTAGAAGCATTCATACTCTTGTAAAAGTTTTACATTGTTTGTAAAAGGTTTTCCTTAAGAGGATCCAGTTGGGATCAGTTGCTCTTGAGAAGACTAAGAACAGTTGTTCTTAGGTGTTGCTATTGTAATCTGTTTTGATTAAATAGTGGATTAAGTCCTTGACAGAGAAAGGCAAATCACTCTTGAGAGGGTGGACTGGAGTAGTTGTATTCAACGAACCAGGATAAAAATATCTGTGTTTTATCTTTGATTTTTAGTCTTACTTATTCAACCCCCCCCCCCCCCCCCCCCCCGCCTTCTAAGTAATTTTCTCACCTTCAGTTGGCATCAGAGCTCCGGTTCTGCGTGTGCTCCACTTAACCGTGACAGTTAAAGATCCAGTGACAAAGATACTTTGATATTTATTTGGTTGTCAATATGGATAATACTTCTACATCAACTTACAACAACAAATATGAAGGAGATAGGATCAGTACTAAGCCACCCATGTTTGATGGGGAAAAATTTGACTATTGGAAAGATAGAATAGAGAGTTTTTTCCTTGGGTATGATGCTGATCTTTGGGATATGGTCATTGATGGTATGAACATCCTACTGGTGAGGATGGCAAAAAGATTGATAGAAAATCAATGACTGAAGTACAGAAAAGAGATTTCAAGAATCACCACAAAGCCAGAACTATATTGCTTAATGCAATCTCTCATACTGAGTATGAGAAGATTACTAACAGAGATACTGCTCATGACATGTTTGAGTCACTCAAAATGACTCATGAGGGAAACTCTCAGGTTAAAGAGACCAAGGCTCTGGCGCTCATACAGAAGTATGAGGCATTTAAAATGGAAGAGTCTGAAAATGTAGAAACTATGTTTTCTAGATTTCAGATTCTTACAGCTGGTCTAAAAGTTCTGGACAAGGGCTACTCAATGTCAGATCATGTCAAGAAGATCATCAGAAGTCTTCCCACCAGATGGAGACCAATGGTGACCGCATTGAAGATGGCAAAAGATCTGAACAAGATCTCTTTAGAAGAACTTATCAGTTCTTTGAGAAGCCATGAAATTGAGCTGGAGGAAGATGAACCCCAGAAGAAAGATAAAGGTAAATCCATAGCTTTAAAATCTAACAAATCTGTTAAAGCTTTGCAGGTAAAAGAAGAAAGCTCTGAAGAATCTTCTTCTGAAGAAGAAGATGAACTGTCCATGCTTTCCATAAGAATCAACAAGCTCTGGAAGCACAAGGGAAAGAAGTTTAACAACTTCAGAAAAGCTGACCACAGGAAGGAATCTTCTGGACACAGAAGATCTGGAAAGAAAGAGGTCACATGCTATGAATGCAAGGAACCTGGGCATTACAAAAATGACTGCCCCAAACTTCTCAAGGAGAAACCCAAGAGAAAGTTTGATAAAAAGAAGAAGGTTCTTATGGCAACTTGGGATGATTCAGATGAATCTGAATCTGAATCTGAAGCAGAAGAAGAGTGTGCCAACATGGCATTAATGGCTGGAATAGAAGATCAGAATGAAGAATCATCATCTGAATATGAATCAGACTCTGAATCTGATGATGATGCAGAAGAGGTAATGGCTAAACTGTCCAAAGAAGAACTTACAAAAGTTTTAACAGAAGTTCTTAAAAGTTACAACAACATCAAACTCAAATACAAGAAGCTGAAAAGCAATCTTGAATCTGAGATTGATCTTCTGAAAACAGAACTTGTTGAGCAAAAAGAAATAAATTTGAAAATAAAAAATGACTTTGAAAAAACTCAGCAAGAATCTGAATCTGAGTCAGGTGAAAATATTTTAGAAAAATATGACTCCAGTTTTCAGAGATTTCTCACTAAGAGCATAGACAGAAGCAAGATGGCTTCCATGATCTATGGTGTTAGTGGAAACAACAGAAGAGGGATTGGATATGAATCCTCATCTGGAAGCAATCCAAAACCTGTTGACAAACTTTTCATCAGGAAGACACCTCTGTATTCTCAATTCAAATTTGGCCACTTGAATGACATTAAACACACAAGTTCTGAGAAGAATACTTATGTGTTTAAACCCAAGGCAAGCCAGAATAAACATTATGTTGTAAAACAGAAGTTTAGGCAAACCTACAAACCAACTAACCCCAAAGGACCCAAGAAGATCTGGGTACCTAAAGACAAAATAATCCCTGTTGCAGATGTCCTTAGCAGCAAAGTCAGGACACCAATCATGGTACCTGGACTCTGGATGCTCACGACACATGACAGGAGAAAGGTCTATGTTCCAAAGCCTGGAACTTAGATCTGGAGGGGACGTGAAATTTGGAGGGAACCAGAAGGGCAAGATCATTGGCTCTGGAACAATAGGTAATGGCAACCTACCCTCTATTTCTAATTTTCTGTTAGTTGAAGGATTGAAACATAATCTATTGTCCATAAGTCAATTAAGTGACAATGGTTATGATATAATCTTTAATAAAAAAATGTTGCAAAGCTGTATGTCAAAAGGATGGTTCTATCCTATTCAATGGAAAGAGGAAACACAACATTTATAAAATTAACCTTTCAGAACTTAAAGTTCAAAATGTAAAATGCCTCTTATCTGTGAATGATGAGCAATGGGTCTGGCATAGAAGATTGGGACATATTAATATGAGACGTATATCTCAAATTAATAAACTCAATCTGGTCAGAGGACTTCCTAAGTTGAAGTTCAACTCAGATGCTCTGTGTGAAGCATGTCAAAGAGGCAAATTTTCAAAATCTCATTTTAAATCAAAAAATGTTGTGTCTACCTCCAGACCATTGGAATTACTTCACATTGATCTGTTTGGACCAGTGAAAACTGCATCCATCAGAGGCAAGAAGTATGGGTTAGTCATTGTAGATGACTACAGCAGATGGACATGGGTAAAGTTTCTAAAACACAAGGATGAGTCTCATTCTGTGTTCTTTGACTTCTGCAATCAAGTCCAGACTGAAAAAGATTGTAAAATTATTAAAGTCAGAAGTGATCATGGTGGAGAATTTGAAAATAAACATTTTGAAAAATATTTTTCTGAAAAAGGCATTGCACATGATTTCTCCTGCCCTAGAACTCCACAACAAAATGGAGTTGTAGAGAGGGAAAATAGAACATTGCAAGAAATGGCCAGAACCATGATCAATGAGACAAATCTGGCAAAATATTTCTGGGCAGAAGCAATTAACACAACTTGTTATATTCAGAACAGAGTGTCTGTAAGACCTCTTATGGAAAAGACTCCCTATGAATTGTGGAGAAACAGAAAGCCTAACATTGCTTATTTTCATCCTTTTGGATGTGTTTGTTATATGCTTAATACTAAAGATAATCTGAACAAGTTTGATTCCAAAGCACAAAAGTGTTTCATGCTTGGTTATTCTGAACGCTCTAAAGGCTACAAAGTATTCAATACTGAAACACAGACTGTGGAAGAATCTATTCATGTTATATTTGATGATAAGCTTGGCTCTGAAAAGCCAAAGCAGTTTGAAAGTTCTGCAGATAGAGAAGTGATTCTCACAGACTCTGAAGGCTCAGAGGCAGAAAAGGCAAAGAACAAAGAATCTGAAGCAACCCCAGATGC